TGAATGTGGTTTTGCGCAGCTCGTCAGTGAACAACAGCTCTGTGTAGTTAATGCTGCTCAATGTGAAACCACGCACGTGATGGAGATTTACCGCTGATTACAGAACCGGCTTTCTGACAAGATGCGTTAAATATCGCATGCGATTTATCGTGCAGCCCTATATAATATAATATACTAACTCACTCACATGAAAATGTCCCAATGCAATGCAAAAAAATCTAATTGGTGTATGGGTGTAAATTGGTGTATGGCAAATTTATGTAATTTTTTGGCATCAAAATGCTTCCTTCTGTCCCAGTTATTATGTATAGACATCTATAAGTAAGCTATCTGTAGTTAGATTCCCCTGAAAAGTGTTAAAACTGTGGCGCTATCAAAATATTATGTCATGGTATACCGTCAGACCGTCCTGCTTCGCACAGGTGTGGGGAGGTCATTTATTATGCATGCTGGGACATCAAAGGCCAGAGCTCTTTCAGACTGCCCCACGTTTGGAGAAGGATCAGACATGAACTCCTCACTTTGCACACAGAGTGCTGTGGTGAGCTAGTAACCTGCATCTCTTACAGGGTCACTGACACTGATCCAAGTAATTCTAGTAAAAGGCACGAAGCTTTTAACAGGGAGATTTATCACACCTCATGACTCAATACGTGGGACTTTGGCACGCTAATTAAATGGAGAGTCTTGAGTTACACTTAGTTATCTGATCAATGTCAACACCTTAACAGCAAAAAACACAGCAGAGTGGAAGTCTGAGATACTGTGGCTAATGGCTATAGAATCCAAGAACACTTAATGAGGCAGAAGATCAGGTAGATACAAGAGGTCAACTGTAATATGATGCATCACTGCCAAGTAGGTGGATTAATTGGCGAGGAACATAAAACTGTCATATGATTGTGAGGTAGTACTGCAATAAGCAAGAAATAAGTGTCTGGTTTGCACATTTACTTATGCACACATATATAGCCTAAAATTTCTCTTAAAGGTGCACTCAGTTATTTTCCCCATTAAAATAAGTTTTTACACAAATACATTTAAGTGTGACAAATGATCTGTGTTAAACTACTGTTAAAATATTTGGGATTTTAAGATTTTTTAATGTAAAGAAGTATCTTATGCTCACCAAGGATGCATTTATTTAATCAAAAATACACTAAAAACCGTAATATTGTGAAATATTATTACAATT